GTAACTCACACAGCTTCTGTTCAGCACGCAATTTTTTGCTGGCTGCTTACAGAAAATCATTTTGATTTTATCATTAAACCGTTATTTCAGAACTTGATAATTTGTTTTAACAGCTGCAGTTTTCCATCGTGCAGTAAATGCAGGACATTTTGAACAATTCACGAAGTAACGGAATCTCTAAACGGCAAGTATGTTTATGAAATCCATTACCAGTGATGAGCAACCGTAAAGTCACATCGCTTTTTAAATGGGCTCTTGAATCACGGGAGATCTAGTTATGGTAACGGTTGAAGGATTGTTTTTTATCCAACAAGGCATAACAAACAAGTCTTCAAAAGACTTCATTTTCTTTATGAAACGCAACATGAGAAGCAAATACGTTTCTTCAAAGGCATCATTAGGTGTTGAGTATGGCAAGTCAAGATGAGATATTTTCACTAATATGTAAACCTTTGAAGTCCGCTAGTTGTAGGCGAGAAAGTGCAGCAAATTATTTTGTCACACTAAAAATGTTTAAGGCATTGTTGGAGACCGATCAGATCACAAAGAAAGAGTGGGATGAGTTAATTCTCGTCTCGGTGGACCAAAGAAACAAATAACAAATTGATAAATGTCAGGAAAAGATGAAATAAAAGCGGGATACCTATCAGTCTTTTGTTTAACTGGTTACGAACTGCACGAAAATAATATAAAAATAAAAGTTGCGGCGCGGGTTATAAAGATGGAATTTTTGGTACTCTTCTTAGTGTGGCTTAATTTAACCACTGTCAAGTATTAATCTAAAAAACGATTGCAGTCCAACCACGGATTTACAGTGTGGCCCATCTCTTGTCGGCGAAAATCTTTGTCGGAAAAGGAAAAAGCTTTAATACGACGACTGATTTTGAGTTTTAAAGTTTATACCTGGAACTAGATTTCGTTACTTAAGTGATGCAGAAACTGCTTTACGAAATCGAATGGTGATAAAACTCAGTAGGAAGGAAAGACTTTAGAATGTTTAGGCATAAAAAGCAGAACGTTTAATTTTCATTAGTAAACAGTAGGCTGTCATATTTTCACCTAGACAATTTTCCAAAAGAATTTTCAGGTTTTCCAGTGAATTAGTAATATATGGTAACAAAAAGAGAAGTTTTACGAGTGAGACGAGACGTCTGCATGGGATGCTTTTACAACGGTGAAGAAAAGGCATTTCATCGAATCTCCTGCCTTGCCAGACAACGACTCTGGTCTCGTGAAATCTTGTCAACCAGTGGTGCCAGTATGCACGAGGAAAGCAAGAACGGGGCTTATATGAAGTTCAAAACAGATCTACATACTGTTCAGAACTGTAGAATTGCTTTAAATGTCTTTCAGCCGACTCAGCATTACTTCTGCCAGATTTCACCGTAAAGCTAATTATTTGCGTGACCTAATCAATGTGAAGCGAACTTCACTTCCGCAAAAACTTTTGATAGTTCTCCTATTTACAAAGAGTGATTATTTCGAAGCTCGGTAAGTGTAAATGATAAATTTAACAGAGACAAACTCTTATGAAGATCTGTATAACACATACTTTTTCGCAAGCACCTCCTAAAAACATCCAAGAGAACCATCAGCGGTGATAGGAGGGGATTACACAGTTCAGTAGTGGATCGCCGGAAAATAAAATGAGTGGTGCGTCACAACAAATCACAGAATTTTCTTTTTGAATCAAAAGATACTCTGGACCGGAGGCTGAATAAATTACATGAGGCTCCAATATATTGATCTTCAAAGGATGCCTTAAATCTTATAAAAGTCTTGCTGCAAAAGCTGTAAAATAATTATACAAATTTCAAAGAAAAATTGCTACAGGAAAATTCCTGAGAGCTTTTCAGTGCAGTGGCAATCGGCCAGTGTGAAGCTCATTAGCGATCTGATAGCTTATTAGAAAAAAGCAAAATGAACAGGAAGCGCAAAAAGCATTTTTAGACCTTCGGCAGCAACAGTCATGAAAGAAACCCTCCACTTGGTAAAGGAATGAAAATTTAATCACAGCAATTGTGTAAACAGTGAAAAAAAGTTTTATTTAGGATTGAGTCACTAGTTACTGTCCCTCGACACCGTAGTGGAGTAATAACACAAATTAAGTAACTGTCTGTCAAAAACTTTCTCAAAATCAAGCTGTAGTTTTAACTGTTATACAATAGTTGCCACAAGTAATGCAATTCTACTTCCTCCTAAAGAAATGAGACCAGAAAAGAAATAGCATTGTATCCAGAAGTAAGTAGTCATAGAAGTGCACGAATTTAGTAATAAAAAAGACTATGTGAACGTGACACAACACTGGTAAAACCCCTGTCTTTTTTATTTCTCACCAGAAACTCTCGAATTTTGGCACAATATATATTGTGAATTGAGAGGTTCTTCCTAAACACAAACTCTACTACAAAATGAGCTACACAAGACGGAATATGAAAGAAAGTGAAAGGAGCAAAGAATATGAAAGTTAAGCTAGTAAAGCAAATTGAAGAATACACACATAAGAGTAACAAATATAAACAATAATTCGCTTACGCCGTAGCGAAAAAATCCATAAAAACAATCAAAAAAAGAGGTGGCAAATTGAATTCACAAGGAAGTGTGCCGACAGCAGAACTTGCAAATGGCTGTCCAGTAGAGGGAAAAAAACCAAGCGTTGAATCACGACACAAAGAACCATCTTCACTACAAACTGTAAACGGTTAAATGCAGCTTCAACGTCGTGCCTTTATGTCAGTCGCCTGACTTACTGATCAACATAGCGGTAATCTGACTGTCAAGATGCTCGAACGCAACGAACGCAGACGTCGAGCCATGCAATAGACTATTAAAAAATCCATTTTGAGAAAAAATAGCATTTAAAAGCAATAAGTTTCTAAAAACAATAACTTACTTTTCCAGCAACTGTTGCATAGCAACATTTATCCACGAAGAAAATCCGCAGATAGGTACGTAAAAAATGACCTGCAACAGTAATTGCAAAGAAGTTTAGCGGAAAAACAGCATGAAAATGTAAAAACAATTGGATTAGTGGAAAACATGCCTGATAACAAGACTTCAGGAAAAATCTGATCGACTACGCTTTTTTTGGGAATTCAACTTCTTTGTTTGAAGTCTCCTTTGTGCTGCTATTTCAAATCTAAGACAGAAAAAAGTGTGATCAGTAACCTTCTAACTGCATAAAACCGTTTGTTTAAAATTGATTAACTTCGTAACCTCGAACGCTTAGTTCAGAATATCAATGAACTTCATTACCAGAATGATTTTAATCTAATGAACGGTTGGTACAAATAAGAAAAAACGCAAAAATGAAACTACATAAACAAACAGTCATTGCCTTTCTTCCAAAATTTTCTTGTCTTCTTCCGTCACTTTTTTAAAGCTCCTGTCGACCTCGTTACTGCATTCCACCAACAAACGCTGCAGTTTCAAAATGCAGTCTTTAAAATTCTCGACCTCGAAAGCATATGTTTTCAAAAAAATTCACTCATGGATAAGTAAAGATGGTAACCAGTAATTGTAAAAAATACTAAATTTGCGCGAGCTCACCAGATGATTTAATGGCCCTCTGAATGCCTAACCCCAAATAAAAAAACTAAGTGTTATTTTGTGAGTACTCTCCTATTACGTAAACCAAAATAGAACTCAAACTATTCCACCTCGCGCAATTACTAGTTCGTTCTCACCACGCAGCAAATGCAAATATATCTTCTATATAGGTTTTAAACTAAAGCCACTTTTATTTTTATAACAACACTCAAACTTAATGATATCAAAAAGAAGCATAAAATCTTTTGATGAATACACTTCAAGAAGAGAACAACTACTTCTTTTGCCTGCATAAAAGAAAATGTCTTAGTAAACATAGCTATTTCAGTTGCAGAAACATACGTAAAAGTAATTTATACTGACAATAAGAAATGTAGGAAAAGCTTTGCAAAATTTCTTCAACTCGCACCTTTATACTGTGCTTACAACTAAAAAACTAATAAAGGGCATTAGGGCATTAGAACACACGGAAAGTAAGAAGCCTCGGTCGTTATACTCAGCTCTGCGGTTACAAGCAAGAAATTTTGCAACAGGAACGTAATTTTTTTAGAGTAATAAACTACATGAGCTTTGTGCAAAAAAGCTTTGAATTCGGGTAGCGTTAACAGGGTTTTAAGATGAACTTCTGCAGACTGCAGTCGGCCTTGCTAATGTCTATTTTATTACCTTCTACTAGAAAAATCTAGTAGGCAGAATAAAAAGCAAGCAATCATGAATTATAGCTTGAAAAAACGAAATAAAGAAAGAAAAAAGAAAAAAAAATACGACAGTTTAAAGCCCTAAGAAACTTAGTGTGATTGAAGTTTTCACAAAATATAAAGATTGCCCTTCTGCGTAAGCTGACCATTAGTAAAGGTAAATCTATCCCTTCCTGCCAGTAAAACACAAATTCCATAGCCATAAACCCTCAAAGAAAATTTCCTGCTTTTGTGCATCAACAGTATGAATGATGAGATTTAAGAGTGAAGGTGAGGAGTTATCAGCAGTAGTGCTCTCTAACTCCAAAAACACACAGTCAAGAAGCGCACAAGAATTACTTGGCTTCTTGTTTTCTCGGACTGAATAACGAAGTCCCCACTGTTGCTGATATATCGTGGAAACTTCTTCGACACAGTCTTGCGCACTTCATCTGTAACCCATGGTATGCTTGACAAACTAACATGAATTTCGCACTTCGTGTTCACTACAAAAAAAAATTAGCAGTTTCTAAAAAAAGGTGAGTTACTAAACCAAAACAAAATAATGTGAATAAGAAAGTAGTCAAGGTTATAAAGGCTTCAACAATTGCCGTACAGAGAGTGAGGCTTCTATAAAAACAAAACCTGACAATCTACCTTTATTAACGTTTTGTCCACCTGGTCCGCCACTTTTCACAAACTTCCTTTTGATGCTACCTGTAAAATGAAGCCGTTCATGTGTGTCCTAGAGAACCAGAAAGGATGTCGTTGCGGCTAAAGAGTTCGAAATGTGTCAAATGCCACAACAGTATAGAGTGGTAACAGAGCAATCAACATATTTCTTATCAAGAACAAGTTACCATCGGGTATCTTTGCTAAAAATTGTTCGTAGCTTGAGGACAACGCAACAGCCTAAAATGAGATTTCTACTGAGAAGTATTTCAAACTGATTCCGCCAAATTATGAAAATCAAGTACAAAACCTGAAAGTCAGATTTAATACCTGTTCCGAGTGTTCTGTAGGAGCTCCGGTAATACTACGAGTAAAAAGTATGCGAGCACAAGTAAGCGCTGGGATTTCACAAAATGTTTTGAAAAGCATTGAACGTGCGCTGCAAGACATGACAGTATGAGGATATTTCGCATCTTGATAAATATAAGGATATCCTGGTCGTCTGTTAATAATTGTAAGTTCAGGTTTACAAAATTTCGTTTCTAAGGGTAAAGAAATAAAACAGACCCTGGAGTGTCCGTATCAAAGGGATCAGGTGCTTAGCATTACAGAGAGCCGAACGGAGT